CATCACTCACTACTTCTAGTGTTATAGTTATTTCTAAATGATTCTGCATCACTCACTACTTCTAGTGTTATAGTTATTACTAAATGATTCTGCATCACTCACTACATTCAGAGTTATAGTTATTAATAAATGATTCTGTATGACTCAATACACGCAGTGTTATAGGTATTAGTAAAATATTCTGTATCACTCAATACATGCAGTGTTATAGGTATTAGTAAAGTATTCTGTATCACTCACTACCGGTTAAGGTACCACCAGTAACTAAAACAAGAATGAATTCTCGATGTGTTCGGAGGAATACGAAGTTTCATAATAAAATGGATAATGATAAACAACATCGTTTATTTATAACCCAAGGAGACACAGATAAACGTTTCGGAATTCAACAGATTCCATTTTCATTACCTAACGCAAAATAAGATTGCATCATTCCTAAGTAACTGAAATATATAGCTATAGTAAGAGTAATTTAATCAAAACAACAAACAACATAAAAAATTAAACGAGTAACAAACATAATAATGTACATACTATAAAATGTGCAATTTAAATGAAGACTGCTTGTTGTTCAGTGTTCGTGAAAGTTGTTTGATGTTGAGGGTTTCTTTAATCCATACCAATGTTGGCTTTGAAAAGGATATTGAAATTTGAGTTAAGTTCGTGTCCTGTTTCTTCACTATGCTGCTGTATAGAGGAAACACAGGGGGTTAGTCAACTTTTATTTGTGTTTTCATGGAAATTCCTATGTGTTAACTGGCTCTAACTAGCAGATGGTGTTTGGTTTTGCCAATATAGGAGGCGTTACAGTCTCCACACGTGTAAATATATACAAACCAAGAACAAGGAGAAATTGTAGAAGGTCTTTAGTACGGAAAAAATCTTGAATGTGGGATGAGGATTTAAAAACTAATCTGAAATTACCTTTGGAGCAGTAACGATGAATTACGCGTTTAATATGAGGTTTTAAAGTTAGGCTTTGTTTACCAATGTATGGAAGACAAGATAATATAACAAGTTGGTATTCTGGGTAGGTTAGTGAGTTTCTTAGTTAGAAAAGTATTAGTAATTTTTTGTAATAAATGTTGTGTAGCCGTTACGTTGTGTAGCGTATCCTGAATGAGCGAAATTTCAGAGTGTAAATTAAAGTACGTAGAACACAAGTTATAAGCTCTGTTTAATAAACATGTTACCATATTTATTTTGTATATGAACGGAAAAAGCTGTCAAATTATGTAAGGAGTCCAGTATATTCATGTACCAAATTCACTAGTGTTACGGTTAATGAGGATATTTAAAAAAGGTAAATTATTATTATTTTCAACCTCGCAAGTGAATTTAATGGCAGGATGTTGTGAGTTCAGGTATTCTAGGAATTTTGAGCAGTGATCCTTATCGTGAAAAATAATAAATGTGTTGTGTACTTACCTCCTATAAAGGATAGGTCTAAAGTGAGCGGGGCAGGTGTCGAGCCATTTATTTCATGTCGTAATACGAAAGAAATATCATATATCAGCTAAAGTTGTTCCTAGCGGAGAGCTCATCGCTACGCCATCTATTTGTTCAAATAAAGTGTTGCTGAACAGGAAATGTGAATTTTTGGTTGTAAGGTCCAACATAGTCTTAATTTGAGTTACTGAGAAGCCATTCGGCGAGATATTATTACGTGAAAGTTCAGATATATAAATATCAGTGGTTTCATTTAGAGGTATATTAGTAAAGAGGGAGGTACTGTCAAAGCTATCCATAAAGTGGTTTTTGGAGGGAGGTGGGATAGTTGAATTAATTCATCTGCAAACTGTAAAGAATCAGGAATAGTGAATTCATTGGTAATGAGTTGCTGTAGTATAGGCACCAGGAATTTCGCAAGTTTGTATGTATGTGTGGCTAAGGTTGAAATAATTGGTCGAAGGGGGTGGATGCCTACTTTGTGAATTTTATGAAGACCGTATAAAATACCAGGGCGGGAGTCTGTCGGATATAATGAGGCAGGGACATTTTCGGATATGATATTTTTATTTTTTAGTTCTCTAAGGTATCTTTGGATTTTTTTCTCACGTTGTATGGTAAGCGATAGAGGGTCATTGTTAAGGATTTTAAATTTGGTTGAGTCGTCAAGAATCACCCGCAGTTTACCTAAGTAGTATTTTTGTTGAGAATAACAACGGTATTGCCGTTGTCTGGTCGCGTAACATGAATATATTTATTTAGTTCAAGGTTGAGATTTTTTCAGGGATTAGAGAGTTAAGATGTGTCTTAGTATTGAAATTATTAAATGTAGAAAGAGCAAAGTTTTCAACAATGAAATAATCACTTGATTGATCAAGAGTTCTTTTATCGTACATAAGAAGGTCTTTTATGTTTCTGTATAGCAATTCGATAATGTGAAGAAAATTAACAAAATTCAGTTTACGTAGTGAAAGAGAGAATTTAAGACCTGTAGCTAGGGCGGATTTACACTGGTTATTTAGCGTAAGATTATTTAGGTTGACCATCAGGATCAAAGTTGGCAGAAGAACTGTTAGTCAGTCTAATCAGCTTCAAATTTTGGACATTGGCTCCACTTGTTTAGTAGATGGGTATAATCAACACTGCTAACGATGCTTCGATGGTTAGTACTATATATGTGTTGAATTCATTAGGAGATTAAGGCACTACCAGTATCTAAAACTTTAGAACAATAAGGTGCCAGCAATAAGTAAAGCAAGTATGAAGTCATAAGTACATTAAGGTGCTACCGACGGTATGTAAAACAGAACGCATGAACCAATAAAAATTTATTTTGAATTAATACTTGCAGTTTTGGGAACATTCTCCAATATATATATTTATGTTAAAATAATAATCGGTTAGACTTCATCTTTTCTGGATACGAAGAAATTTGTCTTTAACAGTTATTAATACATCACTGTCTAAAACTTTCCGAATCGTGTAACATTCAAACTGGCGTTATAGTGAGTCACGAGTATTATTAGTTTTATACATTGAAAATGCAGTAAAATACAGAATATGCTTGTGTAATTTCCCTTCAACAAGGACATGGAGTACTAGTTTCCAGAGTAAACTATATTTTCGATTATCCTTCTCTCAATTTCCGTCCTGTCTTCTGAGCTCACATGTCATTCCGGTTTCCGAAAACTTTGTCACGTGAATTTATCATTTCTGTTTTTTGATGAAAGTCATGTCTGTTTAAGTGTTAATCTTCCCAAGTTCGTCTAGATAAATCTGTTTTAAAACCTTCCTACAGAAATCCTTCATTTTTTATAAAACTGTAATAGATATGCAGATTATATTAAACATTGGTAAAAACAACCACAGACTACAGCTAAATATCAGGGGTAAAAAAAAAAGACAATAGTTCAGAGTCAGGGG